TACATGGTATTGTACCTTCCTTGGTGGCAATCTTGTAACTTGGAAGAGCAAGAAACAAACAATGGTGGCAAGAAGTAGTGCAAAAGCTGAGTATAGAGCTATGGCTCATACCACATATGAACTGGTATGGTTGAGGAACTTACTACAAGAGATGGGGTTCTCAATTGACAAACCCATGAGACTATACCGTGATAACCAAGAAGTTGTTCACATCTCTTCCAATACAGCCTTCCATGAGAGAACCAAGCATATCGAGGATGATTGTCACTTTGTAAGAGAGAAAGTGATTGGTGGAGTGATAACCACAACTCATGTGAGCTTGGTAAATCAGTGGGCAGATCTCTTTACAAAGGGATTGTCTTGAGGCAGAGTAGATTATATTTGTGACAAGCTGGGACTATATGACATATACTCTCCAGGTTGAGGGGGGAGTGTTAGAGTTCACAAAACAAGGGTATTTTGGTCATTTGGGTGTATCTGTGTGAGAGTGAAAGGTCTGTTTTATTCAGGTCTAGGTTGTGTGTCCCATCACTTATGAGGGGCAATATAGTCTTTCTTGTAACCAAACTTATTTTGAGATAAATACAAGTGGGTCGACTAGAGAGGACTGATTTTCCTCATCTGGCCGAACCCTTCTTCTCCTCCTTCTTCTTCTTCTTCTTCTTCTTCTTCTTCTTCTCTTCTTCTTCCTTCTCTTCTTCTCTACTTTAACCTAGAATCTAATAGGGATTTTACAGAGTTGTTGATGCGTTGTCTCGGGTTGAAAGCCTAGCCCAACTTACATGTTCAGATACCATTTCCCCTCTCTTTGAGGCCTTACACCAGGAAGCCTAACAAGACCCACAATACAACAAGATCCAACCCAGACTCCGAGGTATGCCATGAATGGGCTTGATCTCTTCTTCAAGGGAAAGTTTGTGGTGGCCCAGAACTTGGCCCACAAGAGGAAACTATTGAAGCTCTTCTATGATTTCACCTTAGGGGGTACTTGGGGATCCTGTGTACTCTCAAGTGCTTGGGTAGCCACTATTACCAGGTCGGGATGTGTCGTGAGGTCTAGCAATATGTACAGGAGTGCACTATCTGTCAGCAAAATAAATACCTTGCTCAAGCTCCAGTAGGATTGCTTCGACCCCTCAAGATTCTTGAGCAGGTTTGGGAGGATGTATCAATGGACTTCATTTTTGGGCTCCTTCCACTAGCAAGTCAGTTATCATGGTCGCCCTACCTCACCCCTACTCAACAACAATGGTCGTAGAGGTATTTATCGAGGATATCACCAAACTACATGGGATTCCTAAGTCCATTGTATCAGATCGGGACCCCACCTTCCTCGTCAATTTTTGGAAGGAATTCTTCAAACTACTGGCAACTCAACTGTACCAGTCCACCAGCTACCACTCGCAAACAAACAGGCAGACCGAAGTGCTTAACCGATGTTTGGGACCTACCTTAGGTGCTTTTCAGGAAACAAGCCAAGGCAATGGATATAACACAACCTTCTAGTCGGAAATGGGTATGACACCTTTCAAGGCCCTAAGGTTATGTGTGGTTTGAAGGAAAAAGGTAGGGAAAGGAAGGGAAAGACAGGAGAACCTATACAAGGTTTGTAAACGTTTCCCTACCTTTCTCTTCCTTTCCCTCCATTTTCCTTCAAACCAAACATAGCCTAAATGATCGTGATCCCCCATCTACCCTTCCCTATGAATATGGCATTACCAAGGTAGCCGAGGTAGAAACCCAATTAATGGATAGGGATGAAGTAATTCAGCTTTTAAAGAACAATCTGGCAAGGGCCCAACACAAGATGAAGACCCAATATGACGCCCGCCATTGCCCGCTAGAATACCAAGTGGTGATTTTGCCTACTTGAAGTTACACCCTTACAAGATCTCAGTGGTCAGACGAGTTTGGTACAAGCTCGCACCTAGGTACTATGGGCCATTCTAAATTCTGGAAAGGATTGGGCCTATGACCTATCATTTGGAGCTGCCAGCGGCCTCTAAAATCCACCTAGTGTTCCACATTACCCTCCTCGAGAAGGCCATTGGGTAGCATAGTAGTGTAACAACCACATTTCCACGTTTCTCAAAAGAAGGTGACTTGGAGACATAGCCCACCAAGATTGTTGATTTTCGTTTGGTTGGAACAAGGACACCAAATCATTCCTGAAGCCAAGGTGGAATGGATCGGGCTACCACCTGAAGATGCTACGTGGGAGCATGGTTTAAAATGTCCCTAATTTCCCTAATATTTCCACGGCATATTTCCATTTCCATGGGTAGCGACAAGAAATTTTACTAGAATTGACATTTCCCCAATGAAGACTACCAACACTATGTGGAGTACAAGGGAGAGTTTCCATGACATATTTCCATTTCCACTTCCATGGGTAGCAACATGAAATTCTACTAGAATGGACATATTCCCCAATGAACACTACCGGTACTATGTGGAGTACAAGAGATAGTATTATAACATAAGTTGGTAACAAATATTGTAGGTATGTAAAGTAACAAGTTATTGTCCACCAAACTTACATGATTACCACTTTGAACTAGCTCAATATTCATTTCAAACATGAAGTCAAATATTTGTTTTGTTTGTGTAATAGATTATTTGGTTGATCTATTACAACCATTTGCATTTTTTATGAGTTTAAATTTTGCTTTAAGCCTTTAACTCATTCTATCTTGAAGTCTAATAAGATTTACAGGGCAACTTCATAACATATTCTTTTGTCTATAACCTTAGTTTCTTAGCTTTGTTTAATGATTTGGAACAAGATAATAATTTAAAAAGGTGTGTCTATGCTTCTTCTATCATTTCATAAAATATCATTCTATATTCTGCATATTTTACAATGTTTCCACCATGTCTATATTTTTTACAATATTTCCATACGATATTTCTGCCATTTCCGACATGTTTCTTATATTTGGATGACTGACATTTCCACCGACATCGACATTTTAAACCTTGCATGGTAGCCCTACTTACATCTTGATAACAAATTTCCTAACATGGACCTTGAGGGCAAGGTCCTCTCAAGAGGGGAGGAACTGTTGGGGCCAGCCTAGCCGAGTCCAAGAACGACCCAGGTGTAGCTTGCGAAGGCCTCCCCACACAGAAGTTCATTAGCAGGAATAAAAACAAGGCCATGTCAGGCGATCTGGTGTCAGAGACGGTTGTGACAACACATGATTGAGATCATTTGGCATGATTACATCTTTATGGTTTATATATATAGTTTTGGTCTGTAATAGAGATTATGGAATTACAGAACCTGATTTCTCTTACCTTCTCTGGTTTTTCCTTCATTTTCCTCTATCCCCCTCTCTATATTTCTCTATTTCAGGAGGTTAAGTCTCCCTCGGAGAGACTTCCAAGGTGGCGGTTCCACCAGCATCATTTAAGGTAGAGTCACCCACCCAAAGATCCTCCTAAAACAGGATTTTAGTCCTTGAGTAAGAAGCATACCTGATTGGATTAAGGAAAAGAGGGGGTACCACATGAGTAGATGTCTAGGGAGAGGCCAAGGTAGCTCTGTTTGACACACCAGCATCCCAGCCTTTTTTTTTGGTGAATAACATCCCAGCCATTTTGCATCAACCCATGTATACTTGCTATCACCTTATGCCAAAGCTTCTCACTCTCTAGAGGTAATCTCCGCAACCATTTCCTTAAAATGCTTGATTCTTCCAAGTCACATTCCCTACCCCTAAACCTCCTTGTTTCTTACTTGTACACACTAAGTCACACTTCTCCAGGTGGTCCTTTCCTTGGGCACATAAACACTGAGAGCTAGTACACTGGGAAGTTCGCCAAGGTAGATTTGATTAACATTATTCTATCACCTTAGAGGGATTTAAGCCACTACACACACCTCAACCTGTCACTCATGGTGACTACAATAAGAAAAAGAAAAACGAAGAGAGATTTCAGCCCTACTAACCTGTTGTCCTCCCTAAAAACAAATCCAAGAGAGTAGAACCAAGCCTAGAGAAGAGATCACAGCCTTGTAGAAGTGCTCTAAAACCATGTCAATTGTGTAAAGTTGCAAACAGGTATAGAGGATAAAACAATACAAACAGAAAAGAAAGGAGAAAAAAGGAGATTACACTCTCCCCAGGCAGTGTGACTTGTATATTTATCATTAGTGTACAAAGACATTACTGCCCCTAATTAAGTGTGGGGATAATCATAGTTGTCAAGGCAACGCCTAGGCAGGGTGCCCTTGGGGGCTTGCCTCACCTAGTCGCCTAGCAGTTTTGTACAGTGTGTTATAAAAACTTTTATATTCTTAATTTTTTGAGGTTATAATTATAAAAATAGACATTATTAAACTAAAATATTCAGTTTGTGTGTTTATATATACCGACTTCTTTTTATTTTATTTTCTTATTTGTTAGGGTTTAATCAACACAAACATTTTGCCTAGGCGTCGCCTAGGAACCCACCTAGGTGACTAGGTGACAAGGTAACCCCCCCCCCCCCATTGCCTAGCCTCGCCTTGGTGCTTGAACCTGGACAAATCTGGAAACTAATAACTATACAAAATAAGGTGAAGGGTCCATACTTCCCCTAGTAAGTCGACCATTCGTAACAAGCATAAAACTAACTAAATTGCCCTCACTGCAATACTTTAACAAAGTGGCTACTCATATTAGCATTCTAATGATCCAAATCATAATGTGCTTTGTAAAATCTTTGACAAAAATAACTATGATAAGTAAAGACTTGAACCAACATCTTCAACTTTCCTTTTTTTTTCTTCACATGGCTTGAATGGGATTCTTTCTTTTTCTTTTATGTTTGATTCATCTGGATACGTCATGCAACTGATGTTAAACTTCTCATATGAGAATCCGAGGAAAATATGAGTTGAATTTGTCACTTCATAAATTGTTTCAATTGTTAAGAAGCACAATGCGCTGAAAATGTAATGTAAATATCCTTGTATGATTTTTTAATTGTAAACCATTTTCCCCATTATGTAGTGATATGGAAATTAGTCCTGCAAGTGGCCACTTGAAGAAAAAGAAATACACTACATTGGTAAGTTTTATTTTCTCATCCCTCTTTTCCTGTGTTAATTATTATTCAATTTTGTGAGGGCTGTCTCAATTTATTATAGACTCTCATAAGGCTACTGCCTTTTGCCTTTGTCTTCCTGTTATGTGGATATCATTGATGGTTGACCTTTTTTTTTCTATTTGTTAATATTTGTTACACTATAACTTATTGGATGATTCTAATTTTCTTTACATATGACAGGTCTCTTTAAGTGGACATTTATTTGATCAATTTCTAATAAACGAGGCTTTGGATATTATCGAAGCTGCAGGAGGGTCTTTTCACCTTGTTAGGTGTGAAGTGGGCCAAAGTGCAAATGCCATGTCATATTCGGAGCTTGAAGTAAGCTAGCCTCCTCTTTCTAAGAAATTATTTTGTTGACATATGTTATAATTCGGCCTGCCTTTGAGTTCTGTTAGTCTGATAACAACCAAGAAGAAAGAGGAAGAAAGAGGGAAGAAAGAGAGAGAGAAAGGAGGAGAAAAGGAGAGAAGAAAAGTCTGGTTCGAATTAGGGAAAAAGTCACTCTCCCATTCGGCTAGACATGTTTTTATATTATTAATATAATGGAAAAGACACATGTGCCCTTATTAAGTGAGGGACACTAGTTCTAATATAATATTACAGATCATCAATCTCAACATAAGTATAAAGACAGAAATACCCCTACACTAACACTCCCCTCAAGCTGGTGAGTATATATCATATAATCCCAGCTTGTTACATATGTAGTCCACTCTTCCCCGACTCAACCCTTTTGTAAATAAGTCTGCCCATTGGTTTCCTGTATTAACGTATGCAGTGTCTATCACTCCATTCAGCACCTTCTCTCTCACAAAGTGACAGTCAACCTCTTTGTGCTTGGTTCTTTCATGAAACACCGGATTAGAAGAAATATGAACTGCAACCTGATTGTCACAATAAAGCTTCATTGGAGTATTAATGTTGTATCCTATCTCCTGTAGAAGGTTCCTTGGCCACACTAATTCACAAGCAGTATGTGCCATAGCTCTATATTCTCCTCTGCACTGCTTCTTGCCACGACTGTCTGCTTCTTACTTTTCCATGTCACTAGATTACCCTCAGAAAAGTGCAATAACCTGTGGTAGACCGCCTATCAGACATAGAACCAACCCATTCAGCATCAGTATACCCTTCTATTTCAAGTGTTCCTCCACTTTTGTATATCAAACCATGACCAGGGCCCCTTTTAAATACCTCACAATTCTTAGTGAAGGGATGACAGACCCATCATATGGATAGCCGAACCCTGCAGGTAGTAGGGCGAAATTTCAAAAAATTCTCTCTCCCATATGGGAATCACATTCCCTATTTTAGAAAACTGCATTTTCAAGGATCAATCTTGAACCCTAAACCGAACTAGATCTGAAACCAAAAGGTAGGAGAGGGATATACCTGATACAGAGTAGTAGTAACTCCCAATGAAGGTGTTCACGCCCAAGGACAACGCCAAAGACTGCTCCCACTGAAGATGACACAGCGTAGGGTGGAGCAGAATCAGTAGGTGATTCTTCCCAATAACCGAACTCTTCAGCAAGAATTCGATGGAGGGTGAGTGAGCACGACTTTAGATCAGTTTTTCACCAAAAAACTGATATTAAGAACACTTCTTGATCACTCCTACTGGTGGAGAACGAACTGGCAATGGCGGCAGCAATAGAGGGAGGCAAGAGCAGAAAAAGGTGTCAGTCTCATTGGAGCTGTCTTCTCTCTTGGATCTGAGATCTTGTTGGGTGAAGTAGGGTTCGCCCTCCTCCTCTATTTATAGCCTTAAAGAGAGAAGCTCATAATCTCATTAGGAGTTTCCTAATCCAAATTTGTATTTGGATCTGGACTCTCTTTAAGAGATAAGGATAAGTCCTTATCTTATGTGCAGATTAAGATCAGTCCTCATAATCTAATTAGGAGTTTCCTAATCCAAATCATTATTTGGATCTGGACTCTCTGAGTGGATAGGGATAACTCCCTATTCTATCTGTTGATCCAAATCCAAGAATCGTCCCTCTTTAATTAATCAAATCCAAATCCAAGAATCTGATGGGTAAACCCTATCAGTCGACCCCTTAACAGTAATTAGTCTCTAATAATTTCTACAAAGACTAAACTGCCCTTACTTAAGTGTGGGGCAGAGTGTCTCTAATAAAACTGCCACATAAGCATACAACTTAACAAAGATATGATGACTAAACTACCCTTATTCGGCTCACTTTAACACTCCCCCT